TTCGAATGTTTCATTTTCCGGCAATCCATTCTCAAAGTTTGCTTAATTTGCGGAAAAATCCAAAAGAACCTCCCCTTAAACGAAAACCATATTGACGCTATACTACTGGTAGAAACGCATCTTATAAGCATATAAAACTTTCAATTAAGAGGCTATGCAATCCACCGCACAGATCATCCAGATGCGAAAGTTCACGACGGAAACAGAGTTCTAATCAGAGAACGCATCATTTTCACAAAAGTTTTACAACAAACTTCTAGCAAGCCACATCAATAAAAATTCAGTAAAGCAATGGAAGCTTTTTAATCGCTGCCGTTTACTGCCCTCCTCGCGTCTCTACCCGAAAGGAAAATTAATAGACTTCTACAATTCACTTTGGGGTCGTTTTATAGCCACAGGAGACTACAAATCCAAATATACGCAGTTTGGGATCACTTCTAGTGACTCCCAAACGAAGGCAATTGTACAATGCTGGACTATGTACAATGAGAAATAAACTGGACTATGTTTTCACTGGAAGTCCCACATACTGCCCAAAAGACCCACGCAGGCTCCCAGACCTTATTGACTTTGCTGTGACAAAAAACATACCTCGCAATCTAATATGTGCCAAAGTAGTCTCGGATTTATCGCCAGGCCACCCCATTGTGCTCTTAACGTTTCTTCAAAGCCCAGAAATAACCGAACACCTCTTCAGCATGACGTCGCCAAAAACGAACTGGCTTAAATACAAAAAGTACTTGAGTGCCCACATCGACTACACTAGGAACACCCTGGAAGAAGTTCTCGTTGCGGCCGACAAAAAATACTAAAAATCCAATCAGCAAATCAAACAGCTCGTGCCAGATAAGAGGCGCACGCGACAAAGATTGAGCTGAAACATTCGATACACATCCAGCCAAACCCTGGCTTAATGGTCTTATGGCCTCATGCACAAAATTAAAGCGTGTTTGCCAACATACACCCACAAGCCACTGGTATCATACCTCTATAATAGGGTATTTTCAGTGAGATGCAACGCAGCTATTTCGGGCGACTACATCATCGAAGCTGGAGCTCATCAAGGAAGAGCGCTTGGCCCTGTCTATATGTATTGTATACTGCGGATATTCCAACGAACGGATATTTCAACGATCCTTAGTCGCTCCAGATGCCCAACCCAAGCAATAAACCAACTCGCTAATCATTTTAGAGTAGTGAAAGGGTGGCTGTCCGACTGGCGCATTAAAATAAACGAACGAAAGAGTAAACACTTAATAAACAGACGAATTAATTTACTCTTAATAAACAGACATGCCCTCCGCTTTTACTAAAAGGATAAACTGAAAGTCAGCAGCCTCCACTGGATTACAAACTCACGATCACCACTACGCCTGGACTTACTTTACTTTACACTACTTTTGGTGTATTAGTCTATAGACCGTTAGTGAACTTAAAAAAACAAAATTTAATTTATATATATATTTTATAGGCTCACAAAGCCTAAAAAGAAATAAAATCAAGGTTAATAAAAACAAGAAAAAAATAATTATACAATGATGAAATGTCGGCAATTACAATAAGAATATTTCGTGTTTTCCGTATTCTCCTCAATAGTCCAAATCCGAATGCATGTTGTTGTTGGATTGCCGAAAACTTTTCAGTGCAAGAAATATCTAAAGTTAGAAGCTTTGCATTATTTCAAATAGAATAATTATAGGCTGTTTTAAAAAGCGGAAAGCGTTTTTTTATTGGCTAAATATTTAAAATTAATTTTTATTATTATGATAATTTTTTAAGTCTCTTGTGAATGTGAAAATTTTCGCACCAATTTGTGATTTTTTGCATTTGCTCCGCCGTATGCAGAGCTTGGGCACCCCTGCTTAAAGGGGTTAAATACAGTTGTGATAGATCGAAAAATCGATATTTTTTTATTGCATATTCTTTAAGTATACCTCGCTTAATACGTACTCTTTTAGCACGAACTCGGTCTTACACGGTTTCAAATTTGCTCCCATCCCGCATTTTAACACGCTAAAAACCTCTATCTTACACGATTAAACGATCATAAATGTCTGATTATTTTTTGTAAAAAGCCCCTAAAAAAGAAAACATATTGAAAAAAACTGGCTTAAACTGTAAATAAGCAAATGCATTTCAAATTTAATATGGATAGAAACATATGATCTCCTTACTTTATTACAATTTTTAGTTTCTATAAAGTTTAACCTATTAATTAATTATAAGAAAAAACTTTTTTAATTAAATAACAACTTTTATGTTTGAAAATATGAATGGAATGCTTTTATTAAAGGCATATACATAATAACTTTTGGTTAATTTTGAACAAATGTATGAAACTTTAATAAAAACATACCAAATTTGAACAATAAACAATTTTTTTTGCTGCCAAATTTCGAATTTTTAGAACGTAACCCCTTATTTTTTACTGAATCCATGTTTCGCTTAACACCATTTCGCTTAACACGAGGTTTTCTATGAACGTAACCCCTGTGTTAAGCGAGGGTCAGGTGTATACTGTTAAAATACTCTCACAAAAATTCATAACGATCGGACCGTTAAAACCAAAGTTGTAGCTAATTATAGCGCACATCAAACTTGAAATTTTAAACGCGATTATCTCAGAATCTGTTTTATTATGATAATAGATAGTCCGTGAACGAAGGAAATTGAATTTTTTTGAAAACTCCTTTTTTAGAGCATAAAAATCGAAAATCTTATACCTTGAAAAAGTGCCTTTTTTTGTAAAAACCGTCGCCATTTTCTTTTTAATCAAAATTTTTACAAATCCTTCGTTCACGGACTAGGCAATACAATATACTAACGAAATTTTTTTCGGATTGAATTTTTGATTTCGGATCAACCGTTCTTGGGATATGATGTCCACCGCAAGACACCATCGAAAAAAGACGATCTTGGAATTCGGCTATAACATTTTTATTATTTAATATTTTTTTATGAAAACATTTAAATAAGTACCCAGAAACATGTACTAAACAACGTCGGTATAACATTTTTAATAAATATTTTCTATGGTGTCAAAAAAAATCGATAAAATTTAATTTTTTTGTGCGGTACAATTGTATATAGCCCCTTAAAGAGAGCGATTAGTAAGTGTGGTTGAAAAATGTGAAAAATAAAGATAATGATCTCTATTGGTTAAAAATATATGCAACACAAAAAAGTAAAAGTAAAGTCTTACTGTAAACTGCGCCCGGTGTGTGTAGTTTGTGGTGAGCTTCATGACTCCGCACACTGCCCAGCGAGCAGAGATGACCACAACTTGAAAAAGTGCGGCAGCTGAGGTGGAAATCACACTGCTATCTTTAGAGGTTGCCCAGTTTATAAGGAGTTGAAAAGTCGCATCTATCAGAAGGGAATTACTGCCCGCACCCAAAATAAACAGTTGATAGCCTCCAGGTCATACCCTGAAGTCTTCTTCTTGACTGCAGCCAGATCCTCACTAGGACCCATAAACTCTTCCAAAAATGTCACAAGCGCGAGTGCTTTAAAATCAGGACTGGCTACGCCAGCCTCAAAATTTCCAACTACAAGGATATTAATTCTATGGAATAAATCACTGGGACTGAATTTTAATCAGAAGCTGTATTAAGCACCATTATCATACGAAATTTGCTAAAAACTACCTACAGGCCACATCCATAAATATACACCTAAATACTGGCAAGGAATTAACTCTAGCTGCCGTATACTGCCCCCCACGCTTCACCATAGCCAAAGATGAGTTTATGCAGTTTTTCAACTCACTCGGAGACCACTTCATAGCAGCAGGAGACTACAACATTCCTAAAAAAATAAGATGCCTTTCGGATCTTTCATCTGATCACTCTCCTGTCCTTTTTACTTTACTCCGACACCCAGGAACATGGGATCAATCACCAAATCTGACCTCACATAAAACCAATTGGGTTAAGTACAGGAAGTATATTTGCTCACACATTGAGCTTAGTTCTCACCTCAGCGACAAAGCCAACGAAGACAGTTTTGTTAATTCACTGGAGTCTGTACTCGTCTCTGCAGCTCGAGTTTCAACACCTCAAACTATAAACACACAATGCATTCAAAAGAAGACAAATCTACAAATCGAACAGCTCGTCCTCGAAAAGCGACGCTTACGTCGAGAATGGCAATTTCACAGATCGCCATCTGCTAAGCAAAGCATAAAACATGCCTCACGTCAACTTGATCAAGCTCTACAGCAAGAAGAAACTTATGTCCACCGCCGCTACATAGAGCAATTGTCAACTAATCGTACAAAACACTCACTATGGAGAGCTCACCCAACTCTAAGCTTACCGAAAGATGCACCGTAATACCTATTAGAAATTCCACAGGCGGGTGGGCGCGCAACGACGCAGACAGAGCCAGCACGTTTGCCAAACACCTTAAAAATGTCTTCCAACCAAATTCTGCCACCAATGCGTTTACTTTGCCGACTATGAGTCCCAGTCTTAACATGAGCCAAATGAGTTTCGCCCAAACGAAATCGTTAACATCATCAAAAGACAACTGAATCCGAAAAAATTCCCGGGCTGCGACCTCATAACTCCCAAAATGATCATTGAGCTCCCACACTGCGTCGTTTGCACTCTCACCCAGCTCCTTAATGCCATCGCAAAGCTTGGCCACTTTCCAGTGAGATGAAAAAAGTCAATTATAATAATGATAGCAAAGCCGGAGAAAGACCACACTACACTTTTATTTTTACTTGTACTCCGAATTCGGACCAAATAAGGGTCATTACCGTTAATCTAATTCACCTTAAAAAATATGACATTATGGACCTACAGTATAAAAAGCTAGTTATTTTATCAAAAGCACTAGCAAGATTGTCGGTCTTTTAAAATCATGCAACACAGACATACATACATATGCTGCTGCCTAATGTGAAATTAAACGGTATTTAAGTGAAAGTGTTTTGTGTAGCCCCCCTTATATTGTCATTTATGACTCCTTTTACTCCTTTTAACGACTTTTACCTTGTTTTTCCCGACTATCTGCTCGAAGTATAATATCTTTTCCTGCTTCACGCCGCCATTGAACTTTTGGCTCGGGAACGCCGGTTGCGCTGCACTCAAGAGCAATGCTGCCACCTTCTGTGCTAACACCTTCCTCAAGATTTTGTGTTGGGTGGTTAAGAATATCTGGTGGAACAACCACATCCAAATATCCTGACTGAAAAAAAGACATTTTTTGTTTAAGGGAAAATTCATTTTTCTTTAAAAGATATACTTGCAAAAAATAAATACAAAAAAGTTTATAAAATCGTCCTTAAATTTGATGCACATGCCAGCGTAACCCTGGCGGATATAGAAAGTACCTTTATACTTACCGAAGCCTTTGGGGAATAAAAGACTTACTTGGCTTTTCATTGGGTCTGTATTCACTTGACACATGTAGCTACCAGAATCGTTTATTTGCACGCGGGATATGTGAAGCTTCCAGGTGTTGTGGCCGTTGTGAGTTACTGCTAATCTGGGATTTAGAGATACCATGTGAGTATGTATTCCAAGTATTGCTTTGGAATCAGATTTAATCCAGGCCACCTGTATGGAAAATAACATATAGTTCAACTTTGAAAATATCACTATGAACGGCATTTTAAGTAGTTAACGAACCACCTGCAGTAGAGGGCACGATGAGATACTATAAATAGTCGAACAAGAAAAAATGTTAAGTGGGTGTTCGATCTGAGTGATACAAAAATTATAATACCCTCTACAAGGGTATAACAATACCTCGAAACGTTTTTTATACCCTTGCAGAGGGTATTATAATTTTGGTCAAAAGTGTGCAACGCAGTGAAGGAGACATCTCCGACCCTATAAAGTATATATATTCTTGATCAGGATCACCTCCTGAGTTGATATGAGCATGTCCGTCTGTCCGTCTGTCCGTCTGTCTGTCCGTCTGTCTGTTTCTACGCGAACTAGTCTCTCAGTTTTAAAGCTATCGACTTGAAACTTTGCACACACCCTTCTTTCCTTTGCATTTGCATATAAGTCGGAACGGCCCGGATCGGCCGACTATATCCTATAGCTGCCATATAACTGATTGATCGGAAATGGTATAACTTTGGTGTTTTTAGAGTTAGAGAGTTCAAATTTGACATGAGAGCTATTTTTGGCAAAATAATACGACATGCCAAATTTCGTAAGGATCGGCCGACTATATCCTATAGCTGTCATATAACTGAACGATCGGAAATGACCCAACTTTCGTGTTTTTAAAGATAGAAAGCTGGAACTTGGTACAGATTATATTCTTGGTCAGTTAATCCGATCTACCAAATTTCATAACGATCGGCCGACTATATCTTATAGCTGCCATATAACTGAACGATCGGAAATGGTTTTTGGTAGAAATACCAACTTTGGTATTTTTGAAGATAGAAGCTTGAGACTTTTTTTAGATTTTGTATTGTAATAAATTGGATTATATATTCATATTCCCATAAGGATCGGCCAACTATATCCGATGTTTGCGATATATATCCGGTTTAAACTGCAAGGGTATATAAACTTCGGCTCCGACCGAAGTTAGCTTTCCTTTCTTGTTTTTTCGTAAATTAAATAACAAAAAAAAACAAGAAAGGAAAGCTAACTTCGGGCGGAGCCGAAGTTTATATACCCTTGCAGCTAAAACCGGATATATATCGCAAACATCGGATATAGTTGGCCGATCCTTATGAAATTTTGAAGGTTGAATCAACTGACTAAAAATATAATCTGTACCAAGTTCCAGCTTTCTATCTTCAAAAACACAAAAGTTGGGTCATTTCCGATCGTTCAGTTATTTGGCAGCTATAGGATATAGTCGGCCGATCCTTATGAAATTTGGCATGTCGTATTATTTTGCCAAAAATAGCTCTTGTGTCAAATTCGAACTCTCTAACTCTAAAAACATCAAAGTTATACCATTTCCGATCGTTCAGTTATATGGCAGCTATAGGATATAGTTGGCCGATCCGGGCCGTTCCGACTTATATACTGCGTGCAAAGGAAAGAAGTGTGTGTGCAAAGTTTCAAGACGATAGCTTCAAAACTGAGAGACTAGTTCGCGTAGAAACGGACAGACAGACGGATAGACGGACAGACGGACATGCTCATATCAACTCAGGAGGTGATCCTGATCAAGAATATATATACTTTATAGGGTCGGAGATGTCTCCTTCACTGCGTTGCACACTTTTGGACAAAATTATAATACCCTCTGCAAGGGTATAACAACTTGACGGGGTAAAATTCCTTGCAAGTTTTTGTATTAACAGAAATATGACGCGATTATTATCTTTTGATTCTCGCCCATAGACCCAAGAGCTCAGCATCAGTTAAGAAGAAGATTAGCTGAGCTTTTTTATTCTATGCAACGGTCAAGGCTTTAGACAAGTTTTATGGAAAATTTTGATGAGGTCTTCCTTTTTGGTTTCGAGTGGGACCCTGTTATAATATAAGGAAAAAATGACACAATGTACACTGAATTATTTCCAAAAGCTATTATTTGTTTGCTATGAAGAGCAAATACAATTGACCTTAATACAAAGACCTTAAATTTGTTAAAAAATATCATTGTTTTCGTTAAGTTACCGCGCGATTTCGGGTAGCTTCAATTAAAGTTAAGAATCTCCCTTTTTAGATGGGCTTTTATTTAATAGATTTGAATTGGTACAAAATGATTTGGGAGATATATTGAAAATGTTAGTCTGAGGGGTTGAAGACCGCTTGATTGTGCGGAGAGACACCGCGAGGAGGCAAGCGCATGACGGCAGATGCTGGTGATCGATCTAATGCACGGCAGCGGGTGAAGTAAAAAAGATACATGAAGTGCGAGGGCGAGCGCGAGCGAACGGAGCGATAACATGGCTGAGGTCAATAAAATATTGCCGGCCAGATTTTCTGGTCATTGAGATGTTTCAACGACAATAATTCGCTCCAAAAAAAAAAGGACGAAATTCGTAAATTATAAATTTTAAGAATATTTATTTTTTGCGCATGAGCGCAAAGAAACTAGGAACAAGAGGGCGCCCGCCTTAGATATTATGCAGAGCGAAATCTTGCTAAATCATCCAGTTGAAGCCGAGCGGCCGAGAAAGCGAAAGAGTTGCGACCAACAATGGTCGCAACGAACAACAATAATTACCAAAAAATTTAGACATTATTTAAAAGCTAGGAGTCGTCTGCAGCCTGACCCGACATTCTTCACCAAGTTGGGGCACTTCATCCTTAAGGGGCGAGAGGCACAGCTTAGACACTGCGCGATTGGTGGTTCCAGATACGGTTCAAATCACCGCCACTTGAAACACTCACATCTCGTCCAGGAATTAGCTCAGTAATTCTCGCAAGTGGCCAATTTATCGAGGTTAGGTTCTCGTCTTTGACAAACACCACATTGTTAAGGACCAAGACAGGCCCAGGGTAATCCATTATAAGCACTGCTCAAAGAGGAATAAAATGCCATTCGATAGATTCCAAAGTGCAAAACTCAAGCAGCGCCAGTCGAGGCTTATCGTTTATGATGGGAGCAGCTCCCCGAATTCTTTTTGACTTTTTTGCATATAAGCCACTTAAATACATGCAGAAAAAAAGTTGTGGAAAGATACCTTACAAGCTCCAGGTTGGCAGCTTTGGTGGCAAAAAAAATAAAAAAGATGACGTAACATTTTACATTTTCACAAACTTCCAGCTTATAATAAAAGGACCCACAAAAATCCACCCCAGTGACTCCCAAGACCTAGCAGCCATTAAAACTTTTCTCTGGGAAATCAGACTTAATGTTGTCCTGCAACAGAGGCTTACTGGCGTCGGATACATTTGCGCAGTTTAATGCTGCCTAAGAAGAGAGAGTGTGTACTTAAAGTACTCAGAACCCGCTGTTATACTCCACGATCCACTACGTAGCTCCACGATCTCTCAGGTGGGACCGCGGTTGGCCACTCATCTTGAGCTCCAAGGAGAAACGGAAGACAGTGAGACGAAATTCTTAATCAATTTATTGGGAGAGCAGGGTTTAGGGAAATGGGAACATACCGCTCCTCCTCGGCTCTAGTTAGGTCCTAAATATTCAAAGCTTGATTGGTGACTACAATATTAAAACGAGAGGGTTCTTCTCGAATCCAGGGCGGAGCCACAGTCCTTCAACTGCGCTACTTCCGACACAAGCTTTGGCAGTAACGTGAACATCAACAGGGACAGGGTACATATGACCCAACTCCAAATACTCCTTTAGGAAAGCAGAAGATTGCTCCTTCACTTGAGGAAGGCGACAGAGTATATTTTTTAGGGAAAGAAATCGTCGAACGCTTGGGAGTAAGATTCTCCAAGCAATTTAGAAATGTATTTCAACGAAATTCTCACAGAGTAAGAGCCTGAATCAAACCGAGCATCATTTTTACGGAATGCGCATCGCAATCTAACTCATCTTCGTCCGTTTTCAACAATAGGATCGGAGCGGTCTTCAATTTCCCAAAACCGGCAGAGCAGACAGTCTAAACGTTCATCCAGCAGGCTTGAGCCTTTTGCCTCATCCTTGTGGGCAGTGGAAGCAAGTGAACTACTCTCCACATGTGAACCGCCTCGACACGACCCATCCAAGTTGGATTTTTGCAGCAACGGTAAGACAGCTAAGTGCTGAATTTGCCCAACATGCCAAGGAAAGATCCAAGCTGAAACTACGATGGAGGTCCGTGATGTTGGCTAACAAGGTCAGAGTATTTGGATCAGTGGGAACGCAGGAGAATATCAACAGAAAATACCAGAAGCCCCCATGGACAATTCATAGCCGCCAATACCAGAAACTTCGACCCTGGAGCTGCAGCTGACTTGCCAGTCGTAAGCAAGGCTATCACCGCTACCATTTTGGGAAATTGATGCGTTAGCGATTGACTATTGGATCAGTGCACTCGTTTGTGGCTGACGTGGGCCAATAAAAGACTGCGAGTCAAGAAAATGAAGCAGGGTGAGATGCCTCTTCCTCTCCTCCCGCCAGGTTTAAGGTCTCCAATTTTTGGTCATTGAAAATTTTCAATTATAATCCTACTTCATAAGTGTGAGAGGAAATCTCTCTCACACAATCGTTATAGTGACGCTGTGCCGGAAAAAAGCCAAGCAGAAAAATGTTTTGCCCAGTGTGAAAGGGTTTTTGGTTTAGTGTAAGCTACTTGTAGAGTAAACTACATTATTGGTTCTTCTTTCCGCAGGTTTAATCTATACTCAATCTTTGGGATTTTATTATAACCGTAATTTTATCTAAACGTGTTTAATGCTTAAACCAGTGGGGGGCAAACCATCTTTTTTTAAAGCACGCGTGCATAGGGTAGGAAATTCTGCCGCAGCGCTGCCGGCACACTGACAGTGTGAGCGCTTTCAAATTTTTTTATGTTTCCACTGAGAAAAATTTTCTGAGAAATTGCGTTGGAAAAAGTTTTTTCCATTGAAAATATAGAAAAATAAGCGTAGTTTTTCATTTGTTTAAGAACTGTTACTAGCAAAGCTTTCTTTAAAATAAAATACACTATTTTAGTGCCCATTCCAACTTTTGGCCTAACGAA